ACACACACACACACACACACACTGTATACCCTACAGTATAGAGTTGTTTCTAGAGACGATAGGAGCATTTGTGGAATCAATATATTATCCTGTAAGGTGAATATGGGCGTTGCCAACGAATGTTACTGAAGAAATGATCATGCTTTTCAAGATGATGAAGGAATCATGAACACATTGTGATCCATGTCAGCTTCGCGAACAGAAAAATGGTACAGTCGTAGATGAGGATCTGCCTTCAAAATGCGGACCGTTGAAATGCAGGAAAGACCTAGCTGCAAACATCGTCTACGGACAGACGTCTCACGAGACTCATCTACATGTGCTGCTTTCTGCACCCGGTGACTTTTAAAGGGATGTGAACGGTTCGTTTGACCTGTTGTGGTCGTTTTGTCTGGAAATTTTTAGTTCTGATTTTCTACAGGTTCTTACTGGTGGAACATCACCACCCTTGCCATTATATTCGTACGAGATGGGTTGGTGGCAAGGTAATGCTAAATACAAAACGTTCTCTGTTCTTTACTAATCTAAACCCATGATCTTAGCAGACAAAGGAAGCTTAAGAAAAACAATATCTGCGAACTTCTGTTGGTCAGTTAAAGTACTCTAGCTTGCACTATGGCGCGATCGTTGGGGTCTTTCATTGGTAGGACTAATGTGAACTTGGGCGCAGGGGCGGCTCGTGGGGCTAAAAATGGACGTGCACAATTAAGCTATCGCATGCTGAAGATAGTGAAGGGCATAGTAAATGAGACGGTGTATAATTTTAGGATCTTTGGATTGGTGAGGACCTCGTGCTTTTATTTTCATCCTTTTTACTTGTCGCTTTGATTTCTAGTGCTAAATGTGTTTGTTAGCTAAACATCAATTTCGTTCATCCTGTATTGGAACTGAACACTAAAGTTATAACGTTCACTACTCCGCTACAAAACGATTCAAAGGCACAACTCATAGGACGGTCACGTTCACCTCCCTCAGGTTCACGGTCACAGAGTCACTTAAAATAGCCTAGTGGCAAGACAGACAATGAACCAATCACAATGCACTTGAGCACTCCGCTGGATTGCTCCGGGGCTCACATAATAATATTGGCAAAGAATAGCGTACGGTCTGTCGCGTTTATTTTTAGACTGCCTACTGTGGGCTATGTTTCGGCACTGTTCGGCTGGAGCACATTTGAGATGTGCAGTCTTATTAATAATAATGAACCGCCAAATTCGCTACGAGTGTCGTCATCGTTTGGGTTATCCCCAAGAGCGATTTATAGTTGAATATCCTATTATGTTTAGCTAAAGCGCGTGGACTTTGGCATGGCATAGTAGATGTTTTACGGCGATATGGACACAGAAAAGACAGTTATGGCGCCAGTGAGGATCTTGTTTTGATATAATATTTGGCTTGTGTTTGTTTCTGGCTTCGTTTATTATATTAATGTAGGTGTTTTACGTAATAGAACTTTAAAAAATTTTGGGTGGCACTGCACGACCGTGCTCTATGGACGAACCGCGCCTGCTTGTGCGTCATGCTAAAAAAGGGGGACATGGGTGAAAATTGGTTGTTTTTACGCCCTGTGTAAAGCATAACAAAATGTGGATTTATCTAAAAGGAATATCAGCCAAATTCCTTTTGACTTCCAAATGTTGTGTACAAATTTCACACGCAAAGCTTTAGTGTGGAGGAAAATATTTACCAAACTAATTGTAAAGTTTTTTAAAAAAATACTAGAACACAGAGAGAGACCCATCTGCGGTTTACGAAACGACTGAGTGGTTGCAGCGGACGTCATCAACGAGAGGGGAAAGGGGGGGGTGTGACGAGGTGAGGATCACGAGCGAGACGCGCCAGTTCTATAACCTTTTGAGAAACGCAATTAACCACAGTTGGGGGGACAAAAAGCGATCTGGCACGTTTTCACAACTATTGCTTGAAGTCATGCAGGGGTTGAAAAACTCATTGCATTTTGCGAGAAAGGGGGAGAGCGAACAAGATAAAAAGAGAGAACGAAAGAGAGGGGGAGGGAGAACGGAACGGGGGAGG